TCTTGTATCTTTTTCAATAAATATCTCTATTTTGCATATTACATGGATGCATACTTTCTGGACAGACCTCAATCTATTATAAAGATGTGTTATATATAAGCAGTTACATAATTTGCCTAAAGTCTGGGCAAGGTGGTTAACAACAAACCTGTGAAATAGTGGAGCAACCAATGTATGAATGATATAAATTCCTTGTTTATACAGTAAATCTTCACTATAACTCTATTTTCCTATAACCCTAAAAAAAAAAAAAAAAAAAAAAAAAAAAAAAAGGTTTTTTTCCCCTTTCAACCTGTCTCACTTCCCAAAGCTTTGAAATACATAGAATATCAACTATTGGTTCTTTCTTTTTCACACAATTTCTTTGAAATTATAAGAAGGAGGGCTTACACTATGGAACTTTAAAATATTTTTCCTTGATTCCTATTTGGTTTGACTCTCTTAAGACCCTTTTGTATTTCCACTACTTCACATAGACACATTTGATCATAATGTCTGTACATCTATTTCCCTTAAGGAGCTGTGAACCCGAGGCCAGGGATCTGCGTGCATACATTTATTCAACAGAGGGACTGAACACCTATCATGTTCCAGATGCTACCCTAAATGCTAAGGCTACAGCAGGGTACAGACAAATGCCCTGTTCCCACTGGCAGTTACAACCTTGTATGGAATTCTTTGTGTTCCCAGCTTCTAGCATAGTGCCTGGTCCATGGTAGGTGGTCAAATGTTTCATGGATGGATGGGTGGAGTGATAAAATGAATATTTCTGTTGCTGGGTACACTATATTTAAACGAAATGGACCAAAACCTGGTGCAAAATTGCCTGTTCTAAGCTTTTTGCAAGAATGAGAAACAATTGTCGTGACTACTGCAAATGAGCTATCATTTGCTTCTTCTCCTTTCCCCATTGAGATTTCTTTTTAGCATTTTGCTGCATATAAAGCTGTAGGTGAGCAAACCAAGACAATGAAGTGCAAAAGCATCTCCTTTGGAGAGATGGAGAAATATCAAAAGGCTCTTAACAAATCTTTGAACTTTTTATTCATTAAGATATTAATTACAAGCAATTTGTCTGTTGAGAAATATAAAAAGATTAGCCAGAAAATAGCTGGTATGCTCCTCTCGAAACTTCTAAGTCTGAATTCTCTCCACTTGAATTTTGCATTACTTTAATGTTCATTTTGGAGCCAAGTCCAGGGAAAGGATCTTAAATCCAAAGAGGATGTGTTGGCAAAGAGGTTGGCGGGGGGAGGGGGGTGCCACTTCTTCTGGAGAGCTGGATGGCCAAGAGGCTGATTCTCTGGAGATTGTACTAAAGTGCTCCTCGCAAAGCTATTACTAACATTTTAGTCTCCTCCATGTAACTCTTACCTTGGTTTTCAGGGATCTGCATTCACCAGATGCCATAGAAATACTCTAAAATTATTTTATTTTTCAAATTCAACAATATGTACACGTGATGCAAAACTTAAAAGGCTCCAAAGAACAAATCATGAAAATAACATGTCCTTCCTCTCCTCTTCCTGTCTCCTGGTCACCCTGTTCCTTTTCATAGAAGTACCCATTGATATGTTTCTTATATCCTATATATTTTATGAATATCTGTAATTTGGAAATAGCAAGACTCCAGCATCCAAATGTGTTTCCCATATGCAGCTACTTGGAAGTCAAATAGACTATGTAAAAACTTCTTTAGATTTGTAATCCTAATAATACCTGCTCAGATGATTAATTTTATTTTCTCCTTACTTTCTCAGAAAGAACAAAAAGAGATATCTTGGAATTATGCAGGCGCTCTGGCGGGGACTAATGGCCACCAGGCTGTGCCATTAACAAGCAGATATGGTCTGACTTCCCACCTAAAAATGACGGGATCTCTACATGACATCCCAGTCTCCTTCCAAAGGTAAGGACCTCCATTCTGCCAAACAAGAGATCACACTTACCTTTCTCAAGTCGGAGTTCAAGACAGGTACCTGTTGCTTCTACAGGACTGTACGATGAGACTGATGCTCCAATGGCCTAGGCGCTACAAAACTCTGAGACTCTGATATAGTCAGTGCAGTTTTATGACTCATTATGTTACTTCACTTCTTTGAAAACTGAGAAAATTTCCATCAAATACGTATATAGATATAAATCAGAATAACATCACTTCCCAATGTTGATTAATCACACCTTAATAACATCACTTTCCAAATGTTCTTGACTAATCATACCTTATATATTCTGCTCAAAACCACAACCTGATTAATTGCAGGTGGTTTCAGCATGCAATTTAAGCTTTAAGATGTTACCCCTTATATACTTGACAGTGCATCAACTCTTAACAGTTCCACAAGTTTTACAGTACGATCCTAAAGTCTGCAGAGTTGAGCAGAACTGGCTATAGGAAAATCACAATGGCAGATTTCCAGGTTAACTCTCTGTAAGATTTATCCACCAGATCTGGGATGAGGCTTGGGAAGCACTCCCATGGCAAGCTTTTAAATCAGTGGTTCTCCAACTGACTCCACTTTGTAACCTCCTGGGGAGCTTTAAAAAAAAATGTGGATGCACTCTGGCCAGATGGCTCAGTTGGGTGAAGCGTTGTCCGTACACCAAAAAGTTGCAGGTTCAGTCCCTGGTCAGGGCACATACAAGAGGCAATCAATCAATGTTCTCTCGCACATCAATGATCTCTCTCTCTCTCCCCCTCTGAAATTAATATATATCCTCGGATGAGAATTTTTAAAAATGTAGATGCCTGGGTTCCACCCAGTGAGATTCAGATGTAATTGGTCTGGGATACAACCTAAGCATTGGCTTTCCAAAGCTCCCCTGCTCATTCCAACGTGCAATCAGGATTGAGAATTACTGCTGTAGATTTTGACCAAGATTACCTGACTCTGGAAATCTCTTTGGATCATCAGAAATTGTCTACTTCTCTCATGTGGAACTGGTGTAATCTCCACATTAGCGCTACTCTTGGCATGAAACCGAGGTCTAATCTCTGGCTACTCAATGTGATCTGGACACCAGCAACATCCACATCACCCAGGTACCCCCCAACAACTGAACAGAATCTGCATTTAACAAGATCCCCAGGTGTTTCTTTTGCTCATTAAAGTTTAAAGAGCTCAGCAAAGTGGTCTCAATTACACATTTCTAACAACCTCCCAGGTGCGGTTCTACTGGTCCCGGGGGACCGGGCCAAGACTCTAAAGCACTTTTTCTCAAAGGGCGACCCAATAAGGGTTTCCAGAAAAAAGTATGGAAAGCTCATTCTGGACTTCACCACAAAACTTCCTGAATCCTCTGGGTATTGTAGTAACTATGCATGGTGGGTACTTGAAATATTGGAGAATCACTTTGTAAAGTATATGATTGTCTAACCACTATGCTGTACACCTGAAAATAAAAATAATATTTAATGTAAGCTGTAATTGAAAAATAAAACTTAAAAGAATAAATAAAAGTGTTTGAAACAGTGGGGGGAAAAAACCTCCGCGGGACTCTGCCTTCACAGCCAACCACCCATTCCCAGGTGGCTTTGTTTCCATGAAGGGTAGAGAACCCTGAGGCAGCCCCACCGTGTCCAGTGCGGGGGTTCTTCTCACCTTTGAAAAGCAGCCCAATCTAATGGTCTGAAAGCTCCTCTGCATTTAACCTACAGTATTACTCTCTAAAGAAAAAAAGTCTCTTCCTTAGCCCTTCAAAAAAACTGACGTTAGTCTTTCCCCTGCCTATATGGTCTTTATCATTAGGCTTAGGTTCCCCAGCAATTGCTCCTGATTGTTTCTTGCTTTTCTGGTTACCCTCGCTCACCCACCCCCCACACTGGGAACCTTCCAATTCAGCACACCCCCTCAAATTAAGCAGCTCAAACCAGAGAAAACCTCTAAAGTGAGCAACATAGTATATAAATGAGACTATCATCAACTAGGATCAGAACGTTTTATTTTTAATCAAGCAGCAGGAGGTTGCATTTTTTTGTTTTGTTTTGTTTTTAGAAAAGCTCTGTACCATGTTAATTTAACATTAAGCTTCTGTTTAACCACAACTCCTATGTCCCTCTCCCTGGGTCTTCAAGACCACACCATTCCTATACTTACACAATTATGTACTAAACATAAGTATAGGGTTTTATTTACAACCCAGATAAATTTCACCACTGTGATTTTTGCCCACTGTCTCAGCTGGACAAAGAAGTTCTGGTTACCAGTCCTGAACAGAGTAGACAGTCTTGGATTCAGATTCAAGTCTGATCCCTACAACTCTGCTGTTAAGACCTTAAGCAGGTTTCTTAGCATTTACAAGCTTACTTTTCATATTGAATAGGTACAATAATAGAACCTATCATAGGATGGTTGTAAGGATTCAATAACATACTGTAAAAAGCATTTTGTAAAGCATAAAGCTGTATAAATAGTTAAAGAGCATCACCAATCTTTGAATAATTTACACTTAATAACCATAACATTTTTGCATCCATTCATTGTTTTCCACCTCCCAATAAACAAGACAGTCCTGAAATCTTCTGAAACACAAAATCTGTCTCCTCTGCTACCATCTATGACCCATTCTAATTTGCTTTTTTCTGTGTGTGCAGAATTCCTGACCTCTATCCACAAGAGGAAGGGAAACCTAGCCTGAGAACCAGTTACACCAAATACCAGGATGGTTCTCTAGAAACCACCCACATGGGAGCGGATGGGAAACAAAAAAACAACCTGTAATGGCCCTGACATGGGTTCAAAGTGTTCAGACAGGGTGTCTACTTCCAGTTTCTCATTGAAAGAAGAACTCAAAATTGCTGAGGTCTGTCCATTTGGATTCTGTTGAGCCAGGGTTCCCAAGCTAAGTGATGTTATGAAATATACATTATAATTAATATAATATAATGCAATATGTCGTATCATAAGATTTCACCCTATTTTACTGCCAAGAAAGAAATTACTCAGGGGCAAATGAGGTTTCATATAGAAGCCTACAAAGTTGTATAGCTCCTCCCACGAGTGGTAAATTTCCTAGATAGAAAGGAGTAAAACAAATGTACTCCAAGTCCTCACCATTTGCACCTCTCCACCCCCAAATTCTCATTTCTTAAAACAGAGACAATCTCAAAAACAGGAGAACTAGGAAATTCTTGATCATCCTTTTCTGTTAATCTCCAGGTACTTTTCCCAACACAAACCTTTGTTAACTCGCTGAGGTTTTTAGAATATACATATTTTCCCAGGAGATAAATCAGTTACAACTTGAGCACATGTACAAGGCAAGAATTAAATATACTCAAACTACTCAAGTAACAAACACCTAATATTTATTAATAAATTAGTACACTTGAAGGCATTTTTCCAATGTCAGTCCCTCACCACTATCCACAAACCCCGCCCACACAAAGGGAGTCCACACCACCTTTGCATTAGAATCCGGCAACTGAGCATTAGAGAGTATGTTTATAAATGGGAGCAGAGTTGCAAATATCAGACAAGAGTTCTTACAGCTGCAGCCATTTTTAAATGAAGTGACTGAATGACACAGGAAACCCACCAAGACCAAGGCCTTGAGGGCAGACTGGACCTATCAACTATATGTGGATAAAAAACAAGACATCTTTAAAGCAAAGCTGGGGAAATTCCCTATGGAAAAGGTGCCACTGGCACTCAGTTGTGACTTTCCAAAGTGCAGCAATATGTTCCAGAACAGTTCAACCCCTAAAAGGTGAAGTTCAAGTTCTTTGGTGGCCCAGGTGTCAAGCCACTTACATAGCAAGTCCTGGTGGCTTGAGGATTTCATGTCTCCAGCCCAGAGTATATTAGTGAAGAGAAGCACAAGTAATCAAGCATATTCTACACGGTGTCCAGGTGAAAACCATACAATCGGCAACAGTGTGGTCAAGTTTCAGCCATGAATATGAACTATACAACAAGGCATATTAAAAAGATAACGCAAAATCTAACTGAATTACAGTAAATCAACGGGGTCTTAAACGTCCTTAACCCTTAGGAAAATTTGCAAATGACAAATAATAATAACATACAGTAAGAATAAAAAAAATAGATGTGGATGTTGAGACATGAAGACTGCTTACAGAATTCACACGATGCCATTACACTTTTAAAGAGGCTCACAATCCAGTGCGCTGGCGTAGTCACGCTGCATTTGTGGTACACGAAATGAATTTAAAGTGCACAGAACAACTTGAACAATACATAAGAAGGCAAAACAGAGAAAATATGGAACCTAAAAAACTTTAGTGGTGGGTATTTTGCAAGTTACATCTTGAAAGGTTTATAAACTAACTTCACAGAAGGATTTAAAAAAGAGAAAGAAAAAGGGAACTCAAAACACTGGCCATATACTGTTAAACACACCCCCCACCCCCAAAAATAAACCAAATAAAAACAAAAACAAAAACAAACCACCCTGCCACTAAAATGAGTAATTTTCAGAGTGCAGTATCCCTTGTGTTCTATAATAGGTCGGGAAGATGGCCATAAACAGAGTCTAGGAGGGTCTGGCTGGCTTCCTGGCTCTTTACTCCAATAATCTCAAAAAGCCGGTCCAGCTTGTCCTCAGCCTGAGGAATCTCTTCAATCACCCGCAGCTCCTCAGGATTCAAAATGTGGAGCATGTCATCGAAAATAGGCTGCAAGTCACAGGGGTCCAGGCGTACCTGCCGCAACACCGTGTCCTTCTTTTCTGCACAGGGAAGAGAGAAAAGGGAAGGGGACAGCTGTAAAGGGATTGTATTGGGGGGACATGCAGGAGAGCTAAGTGACAGCTACGCTCTCCTCAGGCTATACCCACCCCACCACCCCAAGGTGAGTGAGTGAACCTCTGGCACATTTTAAACAACACAGGAGTTTTTACTACATTGCACATAAGATAATAAAACAAGATTTGCCTAATGAAGATCAGACAAGGATCTGCTTGAATGAGTTGTTGATGTGCTTAACCCTAAATGACTTCTAAATTATTCTAAAACTCAGAAGAAGAATGCTGTCACACTTAAAAAAGAAAACTGAAAAAACTACTCCCACCCCTGAAACACTTTACCATTTCCCCCCCACCAGTAGTTTGTTTACTAAACGAAGATCTCAGCCCATCCTTTCCTCTCAAAAATTCCAAGTCAATGTGATCTGCTTATGACTTTTATGTTGCCATATTTTAAAATTGAACTGCTAAGAGCAAAAACACATAAATAAGAAAATAATGCTTCCTGGGTCACACCTTACAATGGGGTGAGGAACTGTAACTTTTATTACTATTATAAAAAGCTTTCTTTAAAATCTAACACATAACAAAATATAAATATTTTACACAGATGAGAGATAAATGTGTATTTAAAATATATGTAAAATAGAACATATTTTATAAATATATAAAATAAAACTTTTCCCTTAAATATAAGTGGAATTAAACTAGAAAATTTCTAACAAAAATCTGTCATCAATATAGTGTATGTGCTACTTCCCAACCCCGCTTTTAAAAATCAAAAGTGGCGAATTATTTACCAAAAGCACCGATCCATACTGTTTAAAACACTGTTGTTTACAACCAAACTTAACGGCAAATTTTAATTCAAGTCACTAAAACCTATACTTCAGACACTCAAGAGAGGTTAATGCTTTAAATCCTTGGATTCTACAAGCCTTGTAAATAATTTTCAAAAACCTGCCAGACTACATTTTATCAGACCTTTCCTGAAACACATTTGATAGCATCATGAGGATAAAGGGTGACGGGTAAAGGGCTCTCAGCCAGACAGTCGGAGCTGGAAAGATTTTCTAGATGGATCCCCACTGGCTGAAGACATGATTTCTCTGAGGCCAGCCTTATCTTGTTGTCTAGGACAGGTTTTCCAGGACAGGTCATTCAAATGATTCATCTACTCCTGATCTGTGGAAGTGGGAGAGCAAAGTCCTGAGGGCTCTTTCGGGGAAGGCTTAAAGAACGTCTGTACCTTTGGTAATAAATGAGCCCGTCCTGCTCAGCGCAGAGGAGCCACTGGATGTGGAGTCACAGCGGAGGAGGGGCTCGGACTCATCCACGAAGAAGCCCTTGCTCTTCTCCAGCGGGGAGGGCTCCACGGTCAGGAGAGTGGAATTCTCAAGTTTCGTGTTGGGGCTGGGGATGGGGCTGGGGCTAAGTGGGCTGGGGCTCATCGGGAGAGCGAGTTTGTCAGTCTCCAGCTGCGAGAGGGAACAAAAAAAAAAAATCTTTAAAAATTATATATCTAAAAATATATCTAAGAGAAAAAAATAAAACCTTTTCTCAGGTGCTTTCTTTTGTTCCATTTAATATTTTACAGATAAATTCTCCCATTTTTCACATTACTGTGATACACGCACATACACACGAACATACCATTCTGGGAGTTAGCATGCTGCTACTCTGGCCAGGTAAGATAGAATCATGGCTGTACCAGGTATATAGTGGAGACAGGGGAAATGATAGGTGTTATTGCCCCACCTTACAGGTGAAATGACTACGGCCCAGAGAGGGCACACAGCCACTGGGAGAAAGACAGTGTTCATCTCAGGTCAACCTGATATCCCTACTTGGCCCTGTCATTTGACACTATACTTTAGAACTCTGGCGGGTACTTGTGGCATTTTCTAGTCCATTGACTTTATCTTTTTATTGGCTCCTCTGGCGTAGGTGAAAATCTGGGAGCCGAGTCACACAGGGCAGGGTTCAGGGAGTGATACGCACTCTTCCCAGAGCTGTTCATCACTGCAAATTAGAACCCTGACTTCACTCGCGCACGTCAAACAAAATTTCAAGTTCCCAATCAAGAAGACATCGACCCTCATTTCAAAGCATTACATTCAATAGTTGTCAAGTGCACAGGACAAATACAACTGCCTCTTTTACAGCCTTTAAAGCCTAAGAAATTCTTTCAACTGGCTGCAGATTCTGAAGACCACTGGTTACTGCATGTCAAATGTTCCAACTACATTTTTCCTCTGTACCACCACCCACACCCTGCCTCTGCTTCCAGTGCAAGTGTAAGACTTGGACACTGCCAGCGGCCCCTTTCTGATCCTCAGATCAGTTTTACATATATGCTTTTAAATTTTTAATTCAATAGGCCCTGGCATGTGCCCTTCCTCCCTGAAAATGCACGGCCATTCATGCCAATACACGTTTTTTATTCACTCAGACAAAGAGCACTTGTCTACACTCTGGGTCTTAGGGACACTACACTGGACAACATGGTCAGTCAATATAGTGCACTGTTCTTGCTTAAAAAAGAAAGTCCACCCACAAATCACATGCCAACAGGCTAACAAGTCCACCCACCTATTTCCTGAACTCAGTTCAAAACTCGAAGTATTTAAGTTTCCCTCCCACTTTTGCCAAAGGATCCTATCAGTGGAAACTAAGCACATGATTTCCAACATAATTTGGAAAGACAGAATGCTGAAGTGATGCTGTCCATAATTAATAAGGAGTCAAGTGAATATGAAAATATCCCCAGGAAGTGTTTTAGCATGACCACGCTGGAGCTAACAACTAAAGCTAGAGATCATGATGATCATCTCTGTAGAAAATTTATTTAGCTACTAAGGAAACACAATAGATGGGTGGGTGCATTCTGGATTTCTCTAAAGTTATTTGCATTTTTTTCCTATAAGAAAAAAAATTGATCCTAGAAACTTCCTTCCTCCCTTTACCTTAATATTTACAATATCCATCAAAATATTATTACCTTAACATTTACCTTAATATTTGCAACACTGCATGCAATGCAAGCATTCTGCTACCCGTGGTATCTCTAATCAGGAATTTAAGTCACCAGGATATTTGAAATAAATGAATTCTTTATTTTATAAATTCAGAAAGTTCATGGTTCAGTTTTGAGTTTATAGCAAATGGCTAACACCTTTATAATAAGATTCAGACAGATATTAAAAGAGAAGACATTCTAAACAAGAAAGTAGATTTCTACGGAAGAGGGTCTTCTCAGAAACGTTTGAGCATAAACTTTTTAAAATATTCACAAAACGAGTAACTTAATTTATTCCTTATGCTTCTTTGAGCTTTCCAAATTCTCTACAGGGACATATTAACTTTATAATTAGAAAAACAATAAATGTTATTTTTGAAAGCAGTCACCACTGATAAGTATATTTTCCTTCTGGTAACTTGAAAATGTTGTGGCCACAGCCTCTTTTATTTGTATTGGTAGCCAAGAAACAGGATAGTTGGAAGATCATCTACTTGGCGGCGCTCCTCTCTATACTTTTGTTAAATGTTCACGGGCACAAAAGGGCAACACTCCCCCCAGCTTATTGCACTGAGGCAGATGGTAGGATGTAAAAGAAAGGCCTATGGGAAAAGTTGGCCAAAGAAGGAAATGTATCCACCAGATATTTGAAGCCCCTTTGGAGAAACTTGAAAAGTATGGTTCTTTTCACTTTATGGCCATGAGGTAATCATGCTAGCTTGGAAGGCTCAACTGAGAAATGAGGTAGAGACAGTAAGACAGACCAAAAGGGGAGGGGGCAGGGATAATAAGGAAAAACCAGCCAAAAACAGATGGTTCTATTGTGGAAACTTCAAGAGCATGTAATATATTTTGTCCAAATGAGCCCCAAATGTCCTGATTAGTTTTCATGTAAGTACAGTTAGTCCTCCCAGATATTGTAGTTATTAGTCCAAACTGACATGGCAAGAGGTAAACAGTTCACCTGACTCAGCAGCTGAGTCACACCTCCAGGAGTTCCACTGCTGACCTGACTATTTTCCTTTCTGATTTCCAGAACACTGAGTATGAAGAACCATCCAAATAGATTAGTAAACAGGGTATTGATTGAAAGGTGTGAGCTTGCACATCTCTGGGCTACAAAGGTTTATAGCCATGTTTACGAGAACAAGGGTTTAACTTGTATTCGGGTTGTACTGGAATGAGCCATTCCTAGCTGTGTCCTTACAACAATTACTCCTATCTCAACCAGAGCCCCAAAAATGAGTGCTCACTCTGGACACTCCACCAAATCACAACCACAAACCGAAGCTCAATAGTAAGTCTCCTCTTTTGATATTAAACCACTTCCCTGGTGCCCGGCCCTTCCTAAGATGACATGGTGGGGAAGGTTGAAGTGTTTCTCTAGCTCCTGGGGAGAGTGGAGCTGTGAATTGTACAGGAAAATCCTTCCAAACTTCATCCAAGGCAAGGGTGGTATACATATGAAACAAAATTTTGAGACCACTTCCCTTGTCCCCTATGATCCTGCAGCATTCCTGAATATACTCTGCATGTAGGAATGCGCCCAGCACTCTGGCCTCAGGAGCCATCTTTTCAGCATGCATTTTGTGTTCCCCCCAGTCAATTCCTAAAAATCATACTCATGAAAACCCTGAAATATCCATGCTAAGGAAGCAAGGCAATATACCATGGACTCGCTGTGCGGTCTTAGGAAAACCACTTCCCTCCTCAGACCTGTTTCCTTATTTCTAAAGGAAAAAGGTTAGACTAAGATTGTATCTGTTCAGAATATGTTTTATCTATTGTTTTTCTTCCTATTGCTATTTCATTCTCTATCTCCACCCTGGGTCCCACCCCAAATCCCTTTCTCCTTCCAAGTTACCCCTTACCCCACTGGTTCACGCAACTAACGTTTACCCCTGAGTTATTTTTGATTACTACCTAATTACAATCTCCCTGTGATTGCACAATCTGTTTTCATAAAACTAATTAACAACTTTGAAGCCTCAGCAACCCCCTGAAATGAAGCATTAACTACCCAGCCTGGATGCTCCTTACCAATCTGCTAAAATGATTCAACTTAACCCGTTGGCTACTGGCACTTCCCAGATAGATTCCAGGAGGCACCCCCTCCTTTTCTCCCTCTGCAGCCAGATATGCCTGACAGACTCAAGAAAGCTTCTTATAGTCAAAAGTCACCCTTCCAACTAAACTTTCCCTTCAGACCTCTTCTAACACTTAGAAACAAGAGTTTTATGTTACACTTGTGAAAATCTCCATCACTTTAATAATGGTTTTTAAAAGCCTATTTGCTAAATTCAGTGAAAACTAATTGCTATTCCCATCTGAGTTGACCAGCTCATTACTCAGGTCTAGTAAACAAAAGGGACTTTACAAAAAAAGCTATTATTAATACTGTGCAAAATGACCCAGCATCTAATATATGTAACCCATTAGCTGTTAAGGTAGCTCTTTATTACCTCCATTTTACAGATGAGAAAACTGAGGTTTAAGTAACTTGACCAAGGTCCCAATACCAGGATTCAAGATCGGGTTTGTCTAGTTTCAAATAATCCTCTTTGCTGAGCCATGTCACTTCCCTGTATGGACTCAATGCATTTAGAGAAATTGACAAACCCTATAAACTCAATATAAGCAACCACATGACCAAAAGGCGTTGCCCTGGCCCCTTAGCCTGAGTGAAGGGACCAGAGGTATGGTCTGGAAGGACCGGTAACTCAGTGACAGAGGTTACACTAACGGGATGACTGCTGAGACAAAGGTGAGAGATTCTGTAAATAACAGTCACTTCAACTGTAACCAATAACTATGTATTCTATTTGAAAATATTTCAGATGCCAACAGACCATGACTATTCAGAAAAACAAATTCCATTTCCACTAAAGGTTTATCTCAAAGGAATTAGTACGCAAATAAATACATAACTACAGCTATTTAATGATTATGATGTCTCAAGCTTCTTTCTCCTGCTTTCCCAGCTGCTCATGTAATCATCCAAATGAGATTTCATGACCTCCTACAGGGCTATGCGGGCCTGTGCAGTTGAACTCTGATTTTCTTTTTTTTTTTTTAAAAAAAAAAAGGAGCACTATCCTCCTTACAGTATAGGCACCTCTCGAAATCTGCATCTATTCAGTCCCTGTGTTTACAGGAATTCAGATAATAACAAATGCTTTGTTACCCAAATCAATGTGGTCCCAGGATTTCAGATAATCAGGGTTACCAGTCCTATCTCAAAAAATTTATCTGAATCCATTCAAATTCTAAGTTTAGATACCTATAAAGAAGGATACCTATAAACAATTATTTCTCCCTTAAAAAAATGAAACAAATGCACTGCCCCAACAACAAAAGGAAAAAGTAGGTAGGCTTTTTTAAAATCCTAAATGATAGTGTTACCAACAGTGCTGGCAAAATGGGACCTCAGTTCCTAAGCTCAGCAAAGAAAGATTTCAG